CCAATATATTTTAATATTATAAAAGGAATGTTATTGTACTGGTATAGATTAGAGAATTTAGGTAATAATTTTCCTCTATTAAAAGAGGCATATAAACAATCAAAGACACTACATCACATGAATATAACATCATGGTATGGTTCAATAAATGTTGTTTTTAAAATACTTGGTATTGACTATACAAATGCCATAAATGCTCCATTTTATGAATCCTTATACAAATTTAAGAAATATATACAAACCAAGCTATCAATATTGTTTATTAGCTGTTGGAAAAAACAAATAGATAAATTTTCAGACAGTAAACTGAAAACCTACCTTTTATATAAAACAAATTTTGGTTTTGAAAAATATCTAACATTGATCAAGAATTTTGAACTTAGAAGAAGTTTTACTAAATTACGTGTATCTTCTCATAGATTACAAATAGAATTAGGTAGATATCAGGGTATTCCCCGAATTAACAGAATATGTAATAAATGTTCTTCCGATACTGTTGAAGATGAGGCTCATTTTCTATTTGATTGTAACAAATTTGAGGATGATAGAAATTGTATGTTAGCTAGTATTGCAAAATATAATTCTTATTTTAATCATATGAGCAGTCAAAGCAAAATTATCTGGTTATTTAGTGTAGAAAATGTTGAGTTACTTAAAATAATATGTAATTTTATATACAAACATCTTCCTTAGTGAAGATTAGTTAAAGGAAATCTATGTGTGTATATACATTTGATTGGACATAGAAAATTATATTCATCTGAATATCACAAACATACTAGCCGATTAAAAAAAAAAAAATAATTGTTAAGATATATTATTTATTCAAATGTTCTCTTATATCCTTGAGGCATCGTCCCCTGGTATCAACTGCATTCAAGTTACCTATGATGCTTCCTTGTTTGCTTTTGATACAGGTAGGAAAGAGACATTTACACACATTTTACATGCCTATGGCCCATAAGGTATCACCCCCTGGTGTCAGCTGCCTTTAGGAAACCATAATGCTTTCCTATTTGCTGCTGACACAGGACGAGTCATGGACATGCTTAATTTCTACTTTCTTTTTGGCTAATTATTATATATTTAATTGATCCAACTTTTTGTGTACTATACATATGTGGATATCTATTTTTCTTTTTTTTCTTTTTGGGCTGCTTGTTTGTTATCTATATCAACCACACTTGCAATAAAATGCATTAGTATTAAAAAAAAAAACATACTATAGATTCTTTATCTACTTATTCTTTAAGAACTTAAATAGTTCTCGTTTAACTTTTTTTTTTTTTTTTTTATCTCATTGTTTGTATTGTATTATGAAAAATTATTGATGTTGTAATGTTTATGCCCTTTGGGGCCCATAATTGGAAATAAAAAATATCTTATCTTATCTTATCTTACACCTTCTATTGTTCTAGGCCATATGTTGATCTCTAGATGTCTTTGTCCTTGGGTTGCTGTCTCATTGATGTATTCAGATATCTCCTTTTAATCATACTTAAAGTTGTACAATAGGAAAGAAACTAAGACTGACCACAAATCTGTTTGACAAAAAATACTGAATGGATATCCCAGTAACAATAAAATCATTGAAATCGATTAAAAAAAATTGTTGACCTCCCAATTTGGTTTACCGGTATTTATATCTTGGGAACCATAAAGGTTACCCCAAATGTGTTCACTAATTACCGGTATACCCATAACAAAGTTTGGGGGGTATTCTAGTATAAGAATCACCTTGTCCGTCTGTCCGTTTTGTCCCCGCTTCGTGTCCTGTGCATTACTTTTATACCATTGAGCTTAGGTTGATTAAATTTGGTATGCAGATGCATCATGGGATAAGGGTATGTCATATACCAAAGTTGGGTAATCCTGACCTTGTCTTTGACCGCTATGAAGTAAAACAATGTTCATTTTGTTTCCAGCAAATAACTTTTGTACTGAAGAACGTGGGCTGACCAAACTCCATATGCTAATGCATCATGGGATGGTTGTGTCATATCAAAATCGGGTAACTCTGACCTTGACTTTGACCTTTCACCCCATAGGATAGTTAAATATTGTCTGATTTGTGTCCAGCTCCCAACTTTTCTCCTATAAAATGTAGGTTAACCAAACTTTGTATGCAGTTGCCTCATAGACTAGTGTGTGTTATATACCAAAGTCAGGTCATTCTGACCTTTTACTCCTATGATAGTAAAACCTTGTTCTATTTGTGTCCTGTGCAAACTTTTGTACCGTAGACCTGAGGTGGACCAAACTTGGTATCATGGAAGGGGATGGGACAAACACCAAAATCAGGTCACTCTGACCTTGACCACTATGCTGAAAGCCAAACATCTCAAATGTCATTGTCTCAATACTGAAATTCACAGCAGCAACTAAAATGCATGTACAGGGTGTACAAGTCTTGCTATGCGAACAGCTCTAGTTACATATACCGGTAGTAATTGTTAAAAGAACAAAGAAAAAACTGCTCATGACAAGAAGTGCTGTACAACTCCATTTTTGATGCTCCTTTTTATCTCCCCGTTCCTTTGGAACGGTGAGCTTTTGCCATCACTTGGCGTCCGTCGTCGTACGGTGTCGTCCAGAGTCGGTTGTCGTCGTTCGTACGGTGTGAACTATTTCATTCATATTCTCCTCTGAAACTACTTAACCAATTCCAACCAAACTTAAGCTGAATGATCCTTAGGGTATCTAGAATAAAGTTTGTGTTTTATTTTCTATTTCGTCAAAAAACATGGCCACCATAGCTAAAAATAGAACATAGGGGTAAAATGCAGTTTTTGGTTTATATCTCAAAAACCAAAGCATTTAGAGCAAATCTGACAGGGTAAAAATGTTCATTAGGTCAAATTCTATCAGCCCTAAAATTTTCAGATGAATCTAACAACCCATTGTTGGGTTGCTGCCACTAAATTGGTAATTTTAATGAAATTTTCCAGTTTTTGGTTATTATCTTGAATATTATTATAAAGATAAACTGTAAACAGCAAAAATGTTCAGCAAAGTAAGATCTACAAATAAGTTTTTATATGACCAAAATTGTCAATTGATCCCTAAAGGAGTTATTGCCCTTTAAAGACAATTTTACACAATTTGTTTATCATGTTTTCTAACTTTAAAAAATCTTCTCCTCTGAAACTACTGAACCAAATTAAACCAAACTTAAGCTGAATGATTCTTAGGTTATCTAGAATAAAGTTTGTGTTTTTTTTCCCTGTTTCCTCAGAAAACATGGCCGCCATGGCTAAAAATAGAACATAGGGTAAAATGCAGTTTTTGACTTATATCTCAAAAACTTAAGCATTTAGAGCAAATCAGACAAGAAGTTTAAGTATTCATTAGGTCAAGGTCTACCTGCCCTGAAATTATCAGCCAAATCGGGTATCTGATTTTTAGGTAATTGCCCCTGAATTGATGATTTTAAGGAAATTTTGCAGTTTTCGGTTATTATCTTGAATATTATTATAGATAGAGATAAACTGTAAACAGCAAAAATGTTTTGCAAAGTAAGATCTACTATTAAGTTTTTATATGACCAAAATTGTCAATTGACCCCTTAAGGAGTTATTGTCCATTAAAGACAATTTTTTTTTCACAATTTGTTCATCTAAATCTAGTTTGCTTACTTTAAAAAATCTTCTCCTTTGAAACTGCTGAATCAATTTCAGCCAAACTTGGGCTGAATGAGTTTCAGAGTATCTTGTATAAATTTTGTATTTTATTTACTTGTACGTCAAGAAACATAGCCACTATGGCTAAAATGGAACATAGGGGTAAAATGCATTTTTTGCTTTTGAAGAAAATATGACAGATACAAAGAACATTTAAATAGCATTTTTAAGCAAAATAATCATTGATGAAAGATTTAAGCAAAAATTACAGGTGAGCGATTCAGGCTCTTGAGAGCCTCTTGTTTGTTATATTGCACCTAATGTTGCAGCACATTTATGCATCTTTAACTTTCAAATGTTTAGGTTTGAGCATTCCTGACGAGGGTTAATCCAGAAATAGACTTAAACCCACAAAATTTATAGAGGGTCGATACTGCTGATGATGGACTATTAGTCCCTGAGGGTTTCATCAGCTGAGTAGAGAGTGCTTCGAACTGACATGTATAACATACTAATCTAAAATGCCCCTTTCATAAATTAAGAAATTATTAAGAAACTAAGGTTCCAGCTCCCTGAGGCAAAATTGACCTTGGAGGAATTTGACTATCCTGTTAAGGTCCTATTTGGTTATATATCTCCTAATTTTGCATTGTATTTTAAGCATCCTTGGATTTCACGTTTAGGTTTGAGCGTTCCTGATGAAGATAAATGCAGGAAAGCAATTAAGACGCTGGAAATTTGAAGGGTGTTTATCTCATTTACTAGCACTGGGTGGATACCTCTCCTGGTGGACTGTTAGTCCCCATGGGTATCAATACCAGTTGTCAGTTCTTTGCTACTGACATGATTTATAACATATACTTATTTAAAATTCCCCATTCATAAATTAACAAATTATTCAGAAACTAAGATTCCAGATACCTCCAGCAAACTTGTCCTTGGAGGAATTTGGCTGATTTGTTTGGGTGATTTTTGGATATATAGTTTCTTACAATGCAGCGTATTTACACATTCCTGGCTTTCCAATGTTAAGGTTTGTGCATCCAAGATAAAGGAAGATCCAAAAAAGTGCTTTGTATGCACGAAATGTGTAGGGTGTTTATTTCATTGAACACTAACAGTAATCCAAAGTCAAAACATGGCCATTGGTTTTCTGTCCAATAAACATTATCTAAATTTTATCTGTTGTGTTTAGATAAGTAACAAAATAAGCATTCCTTCTTTAAGGAATTATTAAAAAGTAAAGTTTAGAACTTGCCTACAATTTTTGTATGTGTGTGCAATTATTATTAAGACTAGATAAAAAAATGTATGAATTCGTCTTGCATGTATAAAGTAAGAATTAAATACAGCTGTTGTGAAACAAACAAAAACTAACAATTAAAAAAATAGATTTTATTATAAATATTCATCCCAATAAATTCAATAAAAAAAGTATTCCACAAAAACAATATATTATAAAAGTGTACAATAAATTACATTTCTACTAAATTCATAAAGAATAACCGCTATAATGATTCCAATGTGTAATTTAGAAGAAAATTGTATTGCATTACTAGGTTAAGATTGCCTCCAGTACCATACCATACCATATGATCACAAGGTTAAATTTTAGTATGTCTGATTTATACTAATCCAGAAAAGTAATTTTATTAATAAAGAATATTATATGTCCTAAGAATGGTCAATATATATATTAAGATGATAATATAGCAATAAAGTATCTGAACATTTCTCTAATGTATTATTTATTTCTTGGAATCTTGGTCTCATACCATCTATCCTGATTTCATTGCATACCAGGTAACTTTTCTAAGAGAGATAACTCTTGCATTTTCAAGTTAAGGGTATATGTCAGTAAAATAAAACTTGTTCAATACAACTGTTGATATGCATGGAAAGATACCAACATCGAAATAGAAGCTGTAATAGTTATAACTAGTGTAAAAAGACAGAATAAAACTTTCCTATAATTCAATATAAATGCTTTACTACATTTGGTGTTAAAATAATTCTTTGTAGAACAGATCAAAACATTTTGCGTATCAATTATTTGACAGAAATTTTTTTTGTACGTGGTACATGGAATATCCAACCAAAAAGTTGGAGTTTTAAACTAAAATTTAATAGAATTTTAGTTATTTTTACAACTATTGTAAACTATTTTCTTTTATTTCAACTAGGCAACATTTTGATCCTGCCATTTACTGTAGTTTCATTATTATTCGTGTGATACCAATTTTCTTGGATGTCCATGAATTTAAATGTTCAAGGAGGTATAAAGTTTCCATGTGCTTGTATGGCAAACTTTCGCAAAACCCCCAAAAAAATAAATCAAGAAAATACAGTTTTTCTTTAATCCACAAAAATTGGTATCCATGAAAAAAAATTATTCCATAGAAGAAGGGTTGGATTTCACAACTGTATAATAACCTATAACCTCGATTACTGAACACATCTTAAAACACTACATGCATTCTGTAAAGGTTAAGCCATAGATTGTCCCAATATCAAGTGTGTATATAAAAAAAAATTTAATCTTTAAAAAATAATTCTGTCAACTGTTTCATTGTATCTTCAGGTGATGTGACCTTATGACCTATTGTTCTTTCATCTGCATATATTTCATGGTCATTTCCACCCTGAAAAAATAAGATACATGTAAAATATCAATAATTAAGAAAATTAATCAAAGAAATTTGTTTGTTATGTCTGTAAGACTTAGAAAATTTTAAGGCCCTTAAAAGATTAAGCAGGGACCGTGCTGGATTTTACCAATGTCGCAAATTTCATCTGGCTACAAAATACAGCTACTGGTAACATTTCTGGTGCCAACATTTTCCCATATTAAAATTTTCATTTCTTGACTGTAAAGGTAATAATATTGTCGTCATTTAAATTGGTAATATGAGAAAAATGTTGTCCACAGCAATAAAATATTGCCAAATGACTACCACTGTGATATATGAATGTTCAAAAGAGTTGCACTATCTATTATCATAGCTATCTGAGGACTCAAAGAAATAGACCTTAATGTGAATTTTATCCAAGGTAGCTCAAATGTGAAATAAGTCCATAGTGATCTATGCATTGTTGAAGAGCAATGTACTATAGTGGTGATATTAGGTCTCTAATAAGAGTACCTTGTCAAAATACATGACAATATCCAGGGATAAGCAGGTAAAGATTGATGAGGTTAATTCTCTTATTGCTGTGGCATGAAGAGATATATCTCGTATCACACTGCCAGGAATGTTATACGAAAAAAGTAATATGAAAATTCTGTTAATTCTATTGGCTTATCTAGTATCATAAGACAATATTGCAACATTTCCATTGGCTGTTTGTTATGTCATTGATGACTTTCAAGGTTAAGACATGTACATTTCATATTTGATATCTTCAACTATACAAAACATTAACACTTTTCGTCGGAAAATTTTCTTTTTGTCAAATTTTATTACATTTTGCATAAAAATTATCCTGATCCAGAGGGAGGTTGTTTTAATATATATCAACCAGTCACTATAATTTCATGAAAACTGGTCAAAGCACTTTTGAGTTATTGTCTTAAAACTGGAAAATCCCCCTTTTTTAATGAATAAAACCCCATAACTCGGAAACGTTACATCTAAAACTTATAAAAATCAAAAGGGAGCTCACATCAATAGATATGAACAATTCACCAAAGTTTCATGAAAATTGCTCAACGCATTATTGAGTTATTGTCCGAAAACTGGAAAATCCCCCTTTATTAATGAATAAAACCCCATAACTCAGAAATGCAAAATCTAAAATTTATAAAAATCAAAAGGGAGCTCAGGTCAATTGATATAAACAATTCACCAAAGTTTCATGAAAACTGCTCAAAGCATTTTTAAGTTATTGTCCGAAAACTGGAAAATCCCCCTTTATTAATGAATCAAACTCCATAACTCGGAAATGCAAAATCTAAAATTTATAAAAATCAAAAGGAAGCTCAGGTCAATTGATATAAACAATTCACCAAAGTTTCATGAAAACTGCTCAAAGCATTTTTAAGTTATTGTCCGAAAACTGGAAAATCCCCCTTTATTAATGAATAAAACCCCATAACTCAGAAACGTAATATCTAAAACTTACAAAAATCGAAAGGGAACTCACGTCAATAGATATAAACAATTCACCAAAGTTTCATGCAAATTAAAGCGTTTTTGAGTTATTGTTGGACATGTTGATGACGGACGGACAACGGTATACCATAATACATCCCGTAAACTTGCGTATAAAAATGTATATCAGATCATTGAATGCTCGAAGTTATTGACAGCAATTTACAACTTATACAACCCATTGAAATAAGAAATAAAAAGCTAAGAATAAATATTTTTTTTTGTTTTTATTTTACTTACAGGATCAGTCTTATCACCAAAGAAATGTATAGTTTTATATCCTCCTTTTTCTATAAACTGTAAACAGAATGTTTTATCCCAACCCACAGGGAATACATCAATACTAATCTGTCCTCCAATAGCAAACTTCAATCCAGCATCTGGGAAATTCTTATATAAACTCTCTACAAACTTTTTTCGTATATTATGCTCCTGGAATATAATAAAATATTTATTTTTTAACTAGTTTATAGTGTTATGTTAAAAAAGAAATATATCACAGAAGTGACAAAAGTAAGACAGTTTTGAAATGTTTCAAATAATAACATCAGTGGTTTAATGTATCTAAAATCATAAATCTAATATATTCTAAAGCATTTAACTGCAAATTATTGAGATGTATAGCCAATTGCTTTATGTATACAGTGCATTCTATAAAATCTGTGCATCTATCATGACCTTGGGAACTGTACTTAGTTATGCTTTTAACAGATGTTTGGCAAGGCTGATGAACCAGTGACTGTAATCTGGTTGACGAGACTGCATAAAAAAATGAAAAACAAAACAGGGTAAAACAAACCTGGTCATAAGATGTTTGGCAATGCTGATGAACCAGTGACTGCATTCTAGTTGACAAAACTGCATAAAAAAATTAGAAACAAAACAGTGTTAAACAAACCTGGTCATAAGCTACAAATTCTTCTCTTTCTTTCTGTGAACAACTTCTACCAACAGGACATATATTTAACATGCTTGATCTAAATTCAACAAACGTTCCCCTGAAAGATATCAAAAAAAGTATTTACATATAAGTTTATTCTCTTAACCAAATGTCAAATATCAATTAAATGCTAAGTAGAAACAGTTTAAATGTCAACATGTTTTTAGACAGATATCATCTACCGGGGGTAGATGCATTAAATTCCCTGTCTTGTCAGAAATTTTTTAAATGATTACATTTTTCAAAAGCACTCCCACATATCTAGAGTTTATTTTAGAATTTATAAGGTTCATAAAAAATCTGACAAGAATTGTACATGTGAGAGCGCTAACAAGATAAGAAGGATGCCCTGTAATTCTATACCCCTCAATGTGTGGACAAAAAAGTGATTGCTGATGACCAGTCTGATTTTAGATCCTTTCATATACTATATAATTCATTTAGAGATATCTCCACAAAGAGTGATTTTTTAACAACATCATCCTATATGTTATATGTATTTGTATGGATCATTATGCTGGAGTTTCTTTTACAGGTTCCAATTTGTGAATAAATGACATTTTGAGTTTAAAATTGAGAATGGAAATGGGGAATATGTCAAAGAGATAACAACCCGACCAAAGAGCAGACAACAGCTGAAAGCCACCAATGGGTCTTCAACGCAGCGAGAAAATCCCGCACCCGGAGGTGGTCCTCAGCTGGCCCCTAAATAAAATTGTGTACTAGTTCAGTGAAAATGGATGTCACACTAAACTCCAAAACATATAAATGAACTAAAATTAAAAATTTGTATGTTTTTCTCATGTAGGTTCATTGTAGAGTGGTATAACCACTTATATAAAAAAATGGCATTTGTTATGTTTTAAACTTAAATTCACTTAACATTTAACAAACCTTTTGGCTGGTAATGTTAATTCTGACATATATTTCAGAGCAAAATTGATCACTTTCTGTAGACATTCTTCTCCTTTACAATGAAGTAAATTCTGAAGATACAAAACAATAAGGAATCGCATTTTGATTATGTCAGGAAGAATTTGTCAATTATAGCTATTTCAAGCTGATGCAATGTAAAGATGTTTTCAATTAATCTAAAAAATGACATGTAATGGCTATGGACAATTTCAGTGTAATAGTGTTTTATAAGTATATAAAATTTATATGGAGTCATTGTATTATTTCTTGTGGTAGAAGTTAGTTAGCTTCAATATGTTGTGTGAAAATAATGTTGAAAGGACAAACTAAGCATAATGTCATTTTTTTCATGTTTTCTTTTCATTTATTTCTCAGGCATGAATAATTAAGACAGCAGACAAGAAGCCTTAGATCCTCTAAAATCTTCATATCTTCAAAAGGGAACAGTTCGCAGCAAAAACAAAATCTTTGAACTCTGATTTCATGGGGAAAACATGCATATTCTGGCACTTTTGATGTGTATTCATATATTTCATAATTTTTTAAACAATATACTTACCTATGGAAACAAAAAGGCTACATATATAACTTTTCATATTCTGATGCATAAATGAGCTTTAAATAGATGCCAATTTTAATAAAAATATGAAATAATACCCATTCTTATACTTTGCCTAAAAAAAGGTCAGTCAAACTTAAATATTACATGTATTACCTCTTGTCCAACTTTTTTACCATTATGATAGGCTACCAGACCATTTTCAGCAAATAAATAGTCAAAATTCTGTGAAACTGGAAAGATAAAATCAAAATTAAATATCTACTTTATGTACATTAAATGAAGCATCTATAAATAGTCTAATCATTTTGCCAAGCCCAACAAATGTCATAAAAGCCGTTGCATCGCAATCTTTTATAATATTCAGAAACAAAGTTTTTATCTTGTTTGATTAATAAATCTGCATAACATTTTTTCAAAAGCTTCAGATTAGAGTTATTTCCCTTGAATGATAAAACTTTGCATGTTCACATTCATGGTGATAAACTTCACATAAACTGAACTATTCTCAAATTTAGCAGAGTAATGCAGGTCATCTAAGATAATTTCTTGAAAGCAGCCAGAAAAATTATGGAAACATATTTTCAAACAAGATTAATTGGTAACCTCTTCTTGCTTTAATGGTTTTAGAAAACTTGCAAAGCAAATAAAATCTACAAGTGTTTAAACAATAAGAATCTACCAGCTACTACAAAATTCTAAAAGCTGTTACTTTATGAAAAGAAGGACATCAAGAACACATCATGTATACTTGATCTATTAAATTTTAATAAACTCAGGAACTGAAAAATAACTTATAATCTATAGCCAATTATAAATCTATACAAACTGCTGATTTCAGAAGGACAAGACAAGGTTACACTATTTGCCTTGGACACTCAGTTGGGGTATTAATATTTGCAATATCATTAAGGTGATTCTTTTAAAAATCAATTATTTGAATTGTAGATTTACAAGAAAAGTAGTATGCAATGGTAATCATGCAAATGATGCCATACCTCCTTTTTCTAATATTAACTTATAATTAAAACATTATAAACATTTTTGCATATGTGAATAACTTTGTGGTGGAGTTTCTGGTACATATCCTTTTCAAATCCCAAAAAATAGATATAAGAAGATGTGGTATGAGTGCCAATGGGACAACTCTCCATCCAAGTTACAATTTGTAAAAGTAAACCATTATAGGTCAAATTACGGCCTTCAACATGGAGCCATGGCTCACACCGAACAGCAAGCTATACAGAACCCCAAAAATTACTAGTGTAAAACCATTCAAACAGGAAAACCAACGGTCTAATCTATATAAAAAACAAGAAACGAGAAACACTTATGAACCACATCAACAAACGACAACTACTGAACATCAGGTTCCTGAAGTCTTTTCATTTTCTTTTTACCATGGTTTTCAGCAGTAGCTCTCATCTGCTCAGATATCTTTACAAGGTCAGAACCTCCTACTAAGGCAACTGGTACTTTTTGTTTTAACTTTACCAGAAATTCCTGCATATCTGGGCATATTTCCTGAAAGTAAAACATCATAAAATGAGAACATCTATTGGTACTGATATAAACTTTTTGGAGATATATGTACACAATGTAATTAAAAATATTATTATATAATAATTGAAGATTTACCAGCCACTGGTTCATTTTTGTAATGTATATAATGATGTAACATAATATTAAATGTCCAAAACTTCCAGATTAAATTTGACAACAAATCACACTATATGAAGGTTTTTTTTCTGTGCATTATACATCAATTTAAAGTGGGGAAATGTAACAAAATGAATCATTAACAAGGAAAACACCTTTTGGAAAGATGAATTAAAAATTGATTCCAAAGATTTCAAATAATTTCAATGTTAACATGAATATTAGGCTTCACTACATACAATGACATATAAAAAAGATTGGATTTTTTGTTTACCACGTGTTCACATAAAATTGTAACTATTTCTAGGAAACTAACTAGAAACATACATGTAACTTATTTTTTTCTTGTCTCTACACTATAGGTTGAACCATGTTAATAACTTCTCCAGATTGATATTTTTGTCATTAATTTTAAGATTCTCTCATGTCCAGGACTTGGAAATATAGAGAAGATTTTTGAAGATCAGGCCAAAGATGAACATTTTTCAACAGCAAATTCAAATGTACTATTTTCATACTTTTCAGACAGAAAAATAAACTATACTCTTAAGCTTGGATGTTTCTTATAGTAAACATTCAGTCATTTCTTCAAGTAATTGTCTAATTTCAGGAAAATTATTACCAACATAATCAGTTCAATAGACTTTTATTTTAAAGTCCTTTAACAGAAGTTTTTAATATCAAGTAGATCAAATTTAACAATAAAATTGAACATGTTGAATGTCATAAAATAGCAAGAACTTCATAAAACATGTTGTGATATTCCCTGAAGAAAGCAAATAAAAAAAAATATAACTTTGACTCTAGTTCAAGATTGCTCTGATATCTTGACAGCCTTTTGAGACTTACTGGTGCCATTTAACTCACTACATACAATTATAGAACAAATAGAAATTGTGGCTGTAAGTTTCTGTCTTAAATCATAAATCATTCATGGTCAAGCAGATAAATTATATCTGCTTAATTCCTTATTCATTTACAATGTACATGTACTGTGCTCTGACATCCAACAGCCCCAGCAAGTCCAAAAAAGGCCATCAGATCTCAGAGCAATCTATGACTAACTTAACCACTTAGAAACAAGAACTGTGGGTGATCTAACAAAGCAATGCACCTGTCTGGCAAATTTGATAATCTATCCTTATATTATGTTGGACTGGGATGATAATTGATATTCATGATATTCATGTATGAACATCCTCAAAACAGTTTCGTCAATATCCATACATTCTGTTAATTGTGCTAACAAGCCATGTGGACAAACAGGCAGATCTTGATATGTAAATTCTATACTATATACCCTCCCTCCCCCCCCCCCCCCCCCCCAAACAAAAAAAAAGGAGACAAGCTAAAATAAATTTAGTCCATCCTGTGCACACTACCACTGTAAATCTTATGTATGGACAACATAAATTATATATATTAAGTCAATTTTTTAGCATTGTTAATGTATATCCTTTTATGAATGAATTTGATCAATAAATCACAACATAATCAGTCCAAACATCCGGCTTGCCGGCTGACGCAACTACAGAAAAATTAAGTTATACACTCTCTGAGAATTACTGATAGAAAAAAAAAATGGTAAACCGACTTGTGGGAAATGAATGATAATATGCCTTATCAGTTAACCTGTCTTGGTGCTGTCAAAGTCCCATCAACATCAAAAACACAGATAGTTGACGTGTCTCGTTGGTTTCCAGCCATGTTTACCTAGAGTTATCTCCACTTGGAAAATATTAAAACTGTCCAAGTACGGAGCAAATTCCGTTAAAAATCAACATACAGCTTTTTTCTGTGTATTATTTCTGAAGGCCGTGTCGGGATTCTGAACTGACAACGGCGTGATTTTTGGGGCAAAGATGGGAGAATTTTGATTGATCAGGATCTCATAGTTCAGGTCTGCATGATCTGAGCAGAAACTTGAATTAGTTTTTAGTCTTGAAACATCTTTAAATTATTATAGGGTTTATCACTTATTTTAAAATAAGTATTTTAAAATATTAAACGAAAGGGATAAGAAGAGTTTATTGTCTGCATTTTAAACGATATACCTATAAAATCATAGCCAAGAAATAGATATCAAATATATTCACTTTTAGGTGAAAAACTTTTCCCAATATTTTTGCCGAGTTAATTCTCATAATTTACATACTGAACAATCGTCATGTAATGCAGATACTTGAAATTTCGCTCGACAATCTTTGATTTGACGATCATATTAAAAAAAGAAGAACCCAGGACCAGTTCAAACAAGGAAAATATGGTTAGTTGAAGTTATGATCAGTTATGGAGTGGAAAATTGCAAGGTAAGAGTTTGCTTCACCCCCTTTCTATAAAAGTCCTGTAGTTCAGTTTAACACCAACATATCAATCACTTGGTTATGAATACATGTATAACCAAATTTTGTTAACATATTTGTTTAAACTCTGGTGAAACAGGTTTAAGATTTTTTCGGTTAATTAAGTCAGTTGTACTTTGTCGGTGAAATTGCCTTGTGCTAGATTTACCGGCAATACCTGGAAGAAGAAAAAACTGTTTTATATTTCCAAAAGCATAGTAAATAATTATTAATCTTGTGTAAAGTTTCTCATCATACAAAAAATAAGGTTGAAACGAAAAACAAGATTTTTAATTCTTATTGCAAAAGCTGTGTGTAACATTCATTCGGTATAAATGACAGAAAATCTTTTAATTGAAAGTACCTTTTCGTTATATCAGGGGTTTGTGTTTTGGGTAATAAAAATTTGGCACTAGTTGAATTTTTGTTTTCTTGTGATGTATTAAATCGGTCACTAGGCGGTTGGACGTCAAAGGTGAAGTAATGGTACCATGCACAAATGTATGACGTACTTTATAAACATGTCATGATTGGCCTTGTACTGAAGAACATATACATATACACCAAAATCTCAGGCCTTGTTTGGTTGATAATGTGACCTATTTTGTATTACTACAGAAAACTTTATTGTTATGATGTTTCCTATACTAGTTGTAATTTTTTTCGAGTGCTGTAAATCCTCAGTATCAGCGACATGTTGTGTACCTGCTGTTTTCCAAACTGAAATGGATTTAACCGGTGGCTTGATAAACCTACAGACAAAACACCAAGAGTTCTATGACGTAATTATTATAGTTTTTTTATCTTCAAATCAAAACCTTCAAACATCTAGGTTATTGGTTCGAAGGCTATATTGCAAAAGCTTTTCTCTAGAAAATGTATACAGATGTATGCATACGGTAGTACTTTACTAAAATAATTTGACGAACATTGAGAAGTTGATTTAATATAAAATGTAAAAAAAGTCGTCGTTTCTTTGCTCTTGGCCTTGTCAGTTGAGCGATAATATGCCTTCTTTTCTATTAACTTGTATTAAAAATGCAAGCTCCTCGAAAATAAAATAGAATGATACAAATTAGAAACTTCGATTCATGTATGACAATGAAGCATAATGTTTTGCTTCATCTTTTGAGGTGAACTGATTTGACGAGCCATAATTGACAGCGTTTACTTTTACCTTTTGAGCTGAACTGATCTGAAGAGCCATTGAGAGCCTTTACTTTTACCTAATTGAAATTTCATTCTATATAACATCTTTTTGTTTGTAGATATTCGATTTCGCACTAAGAGCTATATGATATGACAAAAAATGAGATATGAGGGTCTTGATGGGGGGGGGGGCTTCATTTCTGTATTCTTTATACTTTTTGTCAAGTATTCTCTATTTATATTTTTTGCCCATTATTCTCTATTCTGTAAACCTCCATCCACACCCTCAGATATTAACAGATAACAACAACCCAAACATACAAATAACCACACGACCTTGCCAAAATTTTATTGATTTGAAATTCAATTCCTAATATATTACGGCTTCTAGCATTAATACTATTAGAATGGTTGTAAATACTATATGGCACTTAAATTTGATTTGTACTGTTTAACGTCAGGTTGAAAACATTTCATTCATAATTAGGACGGTATACTAGGACTCACATTATAATTTAAACTAGCTTGGGATAGCCCGATGTTTATAAAAAGTTAGAAGATACCATAGGATCAATCAAAACCATAAAACTATAAGTCGAAGAAAAATATTCAATTTTGTTCCTGGTGCATGTAGCGGTGTGAATGCATTTAACAGACTGTACTATTTTCTCTAAGAATCCAATTAGCACAAAATTCGGATTTTCAATACGTATTTATTTTCTATCTTGATTTGATGCCGTAGTGAGGATTACATCTAGACTCTACATTATTATTTTTTTCAGAGAAGAGTACATTTGTACTATGATTATAACCGAAAAATGACAAGAACTGATACGATGGTAACCTTGAGTGAGAACATGACCTTCACACACACCGAGATTGTGGATTATTACCATGTAAGAGCATGACCTTTATATACACTGAGAAATAAATGTGGAATTGTAAGATAAGACAGAAGTTCATTAGGTTTTCCAATTCTGAAACAAAATTAATTTAAGGATGTACACCTCTGAGGAGCCAAAAATTTCTAGAATTAAACTTTTTTTCTTAACCTGATTTTTGGATTTATATGACTGTAAAAAAATAATTGAAGAAAAAAGCATATGGTGATGCACTTCATTTTTTGCTACGGCCCTTTGAAAGTACCCAATTTTGATGATTTTCCCATTTTTCATCAATTTTTACCCATTTTTGTGCTATTATCGTGAAAAAAATCACAGTTCCACAATTAAACTTTTTTTTCATACTTTTTATAAAGATGCAGTGGACAAATCTGAATAAATTTAACTTAAAAAACTATAGGTAGGTGTTAATATAAGAAAGTTTTATCATAGTTTGATGCTTTTTTGTGTCAAATTTACCATGCTGTCAATTTTGTAAATTTGTGATTTTTCTCTATTTTAAGAGCAAAATGCATATTATTTCAATTTCTTTGTTATAAATGATTGAAAAAATACATATCTAACAAATTTGAAAAGAAAAAAGTGATATGGGTTGTACATGTTTCTGGTAAAATCATTTCTTGTACCCCTCACCCATTTTCTCAAAATTTTGGCTAAAAAGACTGACTTGATTGGTAATAAAATTTGAACAATTTATTACTCAAAAACTATTTATTGTAAATACACAATTTTTTCAATGAGTTAAGTTTGGTTATGAATTTTTTTGAATTCATTGATATTTTCCACTTGTATCACATGTTTTGGAAATAATTCTAGAACGAGATTTCAACGAGACTGAAACGTCAGCAGAATACATCCTTAAAGGGCAGGGTGCGTTAAAGGCCTTATCACCGACCGTGCAAGGGCTGTATAGCCAGTCAAGGTCGTTAAAAACTTCCATTTGTTTGGCCTTATTTGGTCAAATTTTTACTGAAATAACTTTCCGTTTATATCAATTTAAGATTCATGAATGCAAAATTGAAAACAAGTATTTTTTTTATCTTTGACGTCATAATAAATTGCAGTTGTGACAATACAAAAAAGGATGATTGAATTGATTATTTTTTTTTTGGGGGGGGGGGGGGGTTTCGCCACTTTCAGCACTACTGGTTATATCGTGGAGGCTAGTTTTATTGGTGGAGGAAGCCGAAGTGTCCGGAAAGAACCACAGACCTTCGGTAGGAAAGCTGACAAATTGAATCCTAGTCAATTAAGACCAAAAAGGAACTTTAACACATTTTTGTGAAAAACACGTAGATTTTGGTCACTTTTACATAGTTTTGGATCCTCGAATATAGTGCACATTCCAACTTGTATCAACTAAATAATTAACAACATTGTTGAAAAACACCTTTCAAGTTAATAGTGTAGTGGTACTTGCATGTGTTCAATATTTCTCACTAACAAACTTGAGTGAAAATATGCAAATGTTATCAATTGTTGTAGATTTTGATATCTTTTGACTGTTAAATATCCGTGAATATCCATTATATTTCAAAGATATTACAGTTTTTAATTTTGCATATACTTAACGATTACTCTTAAGCTAAAATCATCTATTTTTTGTAATATTTTATTTTCCATACGCCGAAAATGACCCTTTAAGCACCCCTTCCTTTTGTTTATAGTGTATGTAGAAATCTCTAATTTTTTATAATTTATGTGATTTTATTAAAACAAAAAAGCTAACTTCTTAATACTTACCTATTAAAATGTAATTACAGTACCAATATATATATAGTAGTCGAAACATAGTTGACTGGTGTTGTTTCTATATGAATGTTGATGGATAAATTGATGTCTGGTGAATGTCTCGTGCAGGAAACACTGCGTGCATATTCATGACGACAATAGAATCTTATTTAAAAACTTATATGGAATGAATACACCAAAACAAACGTTTTGTCGCATGCTGATATATTCAATAGTGCTACATTGTAGCTCTGTGGGAGCAAAAGACAGTCAACACTGCGTCGATTACCAGGTATATGGTTTTTTTTTAATAGCAAAATGCAATGCTTAAACTACACCAATTATCTTCGTGATAAAAAGCACATCTCTTGCAATCCTCTTTTGTGTATAGTACTGATCAGTATCTTCACTATTAAAAAAAACCAATGCTGACTTTGTATACCAATATATGCATGTACAGTACCGAGAGTATTGAAACTATTTTAGGGTAAAAGTTACAAAATAGATCTCGGACGATGTTCTGTAGAGCAACTGACGGTACCAATACAAGATCAATGTATACCAAGTAAGTACAAACTATTACAGATATGTACCGAAAAACTTAAAAGTAGTAGTAGTAGTAGTATACGGAGTGCCTTGACCTATCTATAAGACATGCTTCAAGTTCATCGCTGAGTTTTATTTGATTATTGTCTCAATTAAATTACAGCCAATATAAAACACTTCGTTACGTATGTTACTCAGTATATTACAACGCACGAATGATTGCTCTAAATAGAGATTTGTGTACAATATTTTTCAACAGAAGATGCACAACTAACTGCACAACGATCAATTGGCCCCCCGGATAACAATTTAGAAGTGCAGATATGGAAATATGTAATACCAAGTACCAACGTGACAGTTGTACGCTCTGTCACTACACCAGATTGTTGGCCGGTTTCTCAGATTGAGTATGGAGCATTTGAAGGAGGTAATTTTTTCTTTAAAATTCATTCCAGATTACTAGCTGCTGTAAAAGTCCAGAAGATAACTGTCTTACGATTTTCCCATATATAATTACTAGTATGTCGTTTAAAACAGAAAGAGGAAATACCAAGGTTGCCATAAAAACCACAAATCGAAGAACGACAGACATCACAACCACGACCAAGTTCAGCAGGAAAGAGACTAACAGACAATCAACAATACACAAAACATTACAATGAACGCTAAAGATTGAGCACCTTGAACATGAGCCAAATCCAAAACAGACAAACAGACAAAAAGCAGTCCACAAAACACTACAATAAACACTTAAGATTGAGTAACGCAAACATGAGCCAAATCTAAAACAGACAAACAACAGTCCTCAAAACATTACAATGAACACTTGATACTGAGGAACACGAACATAAGCTAAACACAAAACATAAACAACAGTCCATAAAACATGACAATGGAACTAAATATTGGGCAACATGTACATGGACTTAATCTAAAACAGATAAACAACACTCCACAAAACATTACAATGAAACTAAAGATTGAGCAACACGTACATGGGCTAAATCTAAAACCGACAAACAACAGTCCACGCAACACTACAATGAACACTCGATATTGAGCACCATGATGGCATGAACATGAGCTAAATCCAAAACAGATAAAAACTTCTATTGATTTTTGTCTAGTGGTGGCATTTTGTTTTAAATTTGAGTTTCATAAATACGCTCAAATTTACCTATTTGATATTTAATACCGATTCACATGTTCGTGTATATAGTATTATATAGAGTGAAAACGCTCCTATACTTCTTGCGTGGGTTTAATATTTCATTTGCTTTTATGTTAACGTCTAACTTTTTCCATACAGACGGAATCAGCAATCATAAATCCTTTGAGCATACACTGCAACAAACATCATGTACATTTCTCCCACTGGTAGTATCTGTTTCAATATTTCCATTTGTCGGTTTTAGTCTGTAATGCTAATATGACGTAGTGAAGTAACAACAACTTATTCATTGTTTCATGTTTATATGACATATTTCTTAGGAGATATTGTATCCAACTAAGGTCTTTGACCTATTCATTGTTTTAAAGGTTATACTGCTATGGCATATACTACAGCAGACATCAGCGTACATCCATACTCTGAGTCAGTAATGACAATACCAAAACATTGTCATTGGTAAGTAATAGATCTCACATATTTTTTTTAAACTTTAAGTACTGTAAATTCAGAAATTGTGGCGTTCATTTTTTATTGCGAATTTTGAAGACAAAAATGCGAGATTATTTATTGCGTTTTCAGGAAATCTGAATACAGATATATGAGTATGAATTATTGCGATACTCTCCCTGTCGAATTATTCGCATTTACTTAATCAAAAACCTCGCATTAAATGCATCTACATAATACGGAATCAGCAAATTTCATGAAATTACGCATTTGTAAATAGTTTGTAGTAATATAAGCCAGCCATAGTTATAAGATACAATTTTTACAGATATATCATATGATAAAATTAAACATGATCACGCAGTATTATACGACTTGATTCTGTATTTGAGGAATGTATGAATTTCAAAACACTATTATACATTTATTAAATCCGCATCTCTAATATTTCTGCTCTTATCTTTTACTCATAGTGTGTGCTTGATTCGGAAAATGGTGTCTCCCTTCAAAAAATTTTAATTTGACTATTATAGCTGAAATAACGTTAGATTACCGCAATTGCACTTAATTAGATTTTATTTTAAAACTGTTGATCCATTCGAAGTATAACTTACAAGTAGCAAGAACATTAAAACCACCATCATGGTATGTATTATAATACTGCACACCTCTATTGCTTGTGAACTTATCAACCCCCAATAACAGTCACTGACTTGGCACCAATGATTTAGTTCTATTTGATGATATTGTTTAGTTAGTAAAGATAAATTCCGGCGGTTTTTAAAAGCCGGGTATGTCCCTTTTGGACATATAGATCTTTGCGTTCAGATATCCATAGACTTTTTTTCGGGTTTGCCTGCTGTGTTAGGATGACCTCGGACTGTTTCGTCTGCAGAGGTCCTTTTTGACTGTATAGCTTGGTTTGTACTTATACACATACAGCAATCTAATTAGAATATAGACTTCTAAGCAAGTTACGATAGATCTGAATTCTTTTTTTTTTTTACATTCCATCTAATTACATATTTCATTTCTGTTTTCTTTATTTATTTTCAGATGCGTACATGATATTCAGAAACTGATATAGGGCTTAGTTATTATATATGTATAGATTTGTTCTTAAAGAAAAATATAGTGTAAATCGTTAAAATTAATTCATTAGTCATTGTAAAAAGAAGAAGAATATACCCAGAGTGCAAAACAAAATTAGCTAGTAGCAAAATTTTAGAAGAGACATGCAATTAGTCCTTTTCTGTTGAAATAAGGCGGATTCGGAGGCAGAGTGGTCAAAGTCCTCAAGTTTAACTCTAAAAAATACTATTTTCATATTTTTATATGCATTTGTGTTTTGCTCATAGTTCCTAAAATCTGGACTCTGTTTGGTAATTTTCTCATTGGCAATCCTACTACATCTCATTATTTTATATTATTAGAAAAGTATTTTATATCGGACAATGTTGTTTTAAGAGTACCGATAACCATGTAGAAATAATGTATTGACTCTGAACAATGCTATAGAATTGTTGCATATGTACTTTTGTTGAATTGCTCCTGGTAAGATATAATTGACTACATGTAACTGTTTTATTTGTGACATCAGGTATTGTCTGATGATTTTTGTATTGTACATATTTGAATAAAAGTGTATGAAAAGAAAAAAAAATCATATGTTCAATCATGATCATTTAACAAGGCTAGACAATTAAGTGTGTGTGCACTCTTGTTGTCATATATATTGGAAAGAGAAATGGTCGTGGATAGAATGAATTGCAAACTTACTTCTTGTCACGCTCTTCAAGCATACAGCGGAGACTGATCGTATCCGTTGGGCTTCGAAGAAATACTGCAGATCGGGTTTACAGTGGGTTCTTTAAGTTATTTGTTCTTATGATGCTATCAAAAAATGTGAAAACAACATGTTATAAGTGTCATGCGTCCGAAGCGCTTTTCTGGATTTACCTTCATCAGGAACGCTTAAAGGCGAATATTTGAATGCTAAGTATTTATAAGAACCGAAACTGTTGAAGAGCTATATGACAAAAATACCTACAAATAGCCAAATCCATCCAAGGTCAACCAGGAACATATATATTTTAGATATACTGTTCATAGGGTCAACTTTGCCTGAGGGAGTTGAAACCTTGTTTTTTCTATAATATGAATTTATATTAACGGACAATTTTAGAAATGTTTGTTATAAATCATGTCAGTTCCGAAGTACTGATGACTACTGAGCTGACAATACCCTCGGGGACTGATAGTCCACCAGTAGAGGTATCGACCCAGTTCTGAATAAAGCCATGGGAAATTAAGTAAAATAAATACTCATTGATTCTCGACTTATGCAATACAGGCACATGTTAAGCATCTCTTTCAATTATAAGTGTGGTGTTGTTAGAAAAGAACAAAATGTACAACTTTCATTAGTCAATGGTATGTTAAGGCATAATACATTACTAGAAAACATGATAAGTTAATACGCTTTTATTTTCAATATGCTGTGTTACAAGTTTCAACTCTCTTGATAATGCTGTGGTACCTAGAATGTAGTGGCTGCTAGAGATCACAGACGCTTGGGTATATGATACATTTTTTTTTTTTTTTTTTTTTTTTGTTGTTGGTTAAAATATTCAATTTTCTATATTTATACTACATATCTATCACTACTGCGCATGTCTCACCTAGTTTCGAGTGATTTTACTAACTTTGAGACAAACCCCCATTTTACTATCCACACTAAAGTTTCTTAGTGTATCATATACCCAAGCGACTGTGCTAGAGATGTATATTGTACGTTGTGGTAAAATATTGTTGTCTGTGAAACAACTGAAAAAAGAAAACAAATTTACTGTTTATGGTTACAAATGAACAAGTCTGCTGCCTCATATCTTGACTTAAATCTAGAAATTGACAATGAGGGTTGGTTGAAAACAAAACTCTACGACAAAAGAGATGATTTCAGTTTCCCAATTGTGAACTGTCCATGTCTATGTAGCAGCATTCCAGCAGCGCCTGCATACGGAGTATATTCCAGGGCTTGTATATCCTATCATGATTACTTTGATATAGGGTTGCTGCTCACAAGAAAGCTATTAAACGAAGAGCTCCAATTGGTGAAGTTGAAATCATCCCTTAGCGTAAATTTTACGGACGCCACCACGAGTTGGTTGACCGTTATGGAATATCCGTTTCACAGATGATAGCGGATATGTTCGAAATGTCGTAACTTTAATCCAGTCCCCTTTTCCCCGAATGTGACCTACCGAATTAAACCTATTACTGGGTTGTACTAACACGAACAACAAGACGAGTGCCACATGTGGAGCAGGACCTGTACGTATTGTCCTTTAAAAAAAAAGCTAAACAGCACTGATTTGCGAACTTGTCAGACACATTGTCGATTTAAACTTCTAATGTAAATTTCATAAAATTCATACAATTGTAGCTTGAGAGCGCTATAACAATGTAATATTCCATATAATTTATATTTTAAAGGGGGATAACTTCTTTTGAAATAGTTGGACAGCACAGCTTTTCGAACGTTTCCATTTCTGATATAAACCTTCGATACAAATTTCATAAAAAAAATCTATGACAGATTTTTATGCGCGATAGCGGATACAAGACCAGACGGACGGACGAACGCCCGGTGTTTCTACGTCCCCGCTACGCTGCATGGGGGAAATAAAGGGCATAGAGGTACAGTAATAGAATGAAATGAAATATACAACTGATTTTCAATGATGTGTGACTATACTTGTTGTATACGTTCGTTTTAACACAATATATAAATATGTATTTGTTTTAATATTCTGGTTAATTCTTAGCCTGTATAAATACCAATCTGATTAAAATACGTATCCTGTTTCAAAGATTTGCTTCCAAGGATCTGAAAACGCTCCGTTCCACTTTCTGCTTTAAAGAACTTTCGGGATCCTCTGGTTTTTGTCTGATTAACCATAATTAAATTTGAAGGCTAACATTTCATTGGCTGATGTTATAATTATCAAAACAGAAAGTGAAAAGTGTTTTCAAATCCTTGTAAGCCATCTTTAAACTTTGACACAGGATCTACATTTTAATCAGATTGTTTAAATACAAAAAGATGATCCATCGAAAAAAACACATAAAACAAGAGTCTCTTTCGTAACGAGTATCAGTGGTCCGTAAATTACTCACGTGTGTTGTACCTTTTTGTCATGGGAACACGTGTTTCATTAGACTCAATTAAACATCTACTTTTGTATTTACAGACAATAGAATGTACTAAGAAAGCTACAGTGTAGTTGAGTTATACGTGGTCACCTGTCATTATATTATTAACTGCAATGGTGTAGTTTAACCACTTGTATGTTTTTATCTTTATCAGACTAAAATACATCTACTTTGATATTTAAGTCTAACTGGTCAAAAATATTGCGCAGTAAAACAGACCACATTAATCCCCAACAACCGACTCCTCCAAGAAAATAAATCGCATAATCAAAGACACGAACAACAAACAAGAAACCAACAAACAACACATGGTCTAGGTACTATAGGCTGAATATTGGTACAGACAGACTGTGTTAGTAACATATAAGCATAAGTAGCTTACCGATGTTAATATCTAATAAACCAATTCCTGTATCGTGAAAAGTCCTATGCTGATCACTTTTACTTCGGAAACACAGAAAAAACCTCGAAAGTCCGTTTCCATTCCAAACCGTGAATTTAAAGACAAATCAATGTAGCAAACAAAAGCTGAGGGAATTGCATGATCTTCAAAGGATCAAGACCAAATGCGTCGACAGGGTAAGCGTCTCCTGCAATGCCTGCAGCCAAAATGTCACAATCGGGAATAGGACACGATTGGTTAAATAACAGATACGACGACTCTTCTGGTATCTATCATAAAGATTTAAGACTGCGAAAATATGCCGTACGAAGTTGAGACACATATTTATCGTATCGGCCAATCAAATCGTGATCATGACCGTAAAACTATTGTGTTGTCGATCTCAATCGTTCTTCTTTAGAATTCGTATTGATCAATTTTGTGTTAGTTTTACCCCATGCTCACGAAATCCGTAAAGCAAGAACGTGCACGAGCGTACCGTTTCAATTGAGATATATGTAAACGCCATACGATGGAACAGAGGGTATGTTACTGCATGTTGACAAATGGGAAGTTGGCAATTGGAAAGTTGAAATCATTAAACAGGTTCTCGATAAACTAAAATTTTAGTGAAACTAACCATTGTTTGCATTGGCACTGATTCCTTGCACGACCAGTGTACAAGCATGGGCCATCACAGATACTGTAAGGTTTCCCCACGAGGAGCTCTCGATAAACCAGGTGTCCACGTCATAAGCTACCGATAGTATTTCTTCCTCTGTATATAGCATTACCTAATTAAAATAGACTGGAAATCAAGTCTGCTGTTTTGTATTTTTTTATTCATCGATGTAGATTTAGCGCAACCATCGAAAATACCTAAAATGATAAAATTTTGCAATAAACATCTGCGCCACGAGCGCATGATACGCCCGTCGTTGTGTGTGAGGTTTTATGCAATAATCATAAATCGTTTCTGAGATACGCGGCGACATGTGAAAACCCCCCTTTTTTATAAAAAAATCAATAACTCTAAAATAAAATTTTGAATCATCACCAAAAAGTATACAGATCTTTAGATTAATATAATTAAGAAGTGTGTAAAGTTTTAAGCAATAATCATAAATCGTTTTTGAGATACGGCGCGACATGTGAAAAAAACACCCCCATGTTTTAGTTACAAAGTCCCGTAACTCAAAAAGCGTTAATCTTATTTTCACCAAAAAGTATACAGATCGTTTGACCATCATAAGAAACAACTATGTTAAGTTTCATGAAATTTGGATAAGTCGTTCTCAAGTTACGGTGCGACATGTGGACGCCGAACAGACGGACAGACAGACAGACAGACAGACAGACGGACGTCGGACATTTGGGTATACCATAATTCGTCCCGTCAAAATTTTGACGGTCGTATAAAAACAAGGCATATAGTACTCACTTTGTATGCATGGTGGCTGCATATTTATTCCATTTGGTAAGTCGATTTTACTACACGAGTTTCCAGATAGTGTATACTGCTTTTTCTAAAACGAAATACTAGTAAAAGTATATATTATATAGTTTGAACAGCGGTATACTATTGTTGTCTTTTTTTATTACTTTAAACGCTTTTCAAAAATTTTATGTATTTTCATAAAAAGAAAATTTTATTCAGCGATACATGTTGTCGTTAACGGAGTTTTGATAAAAAAAAAAGTAAATTTACATTATGACAAATTTTTTTTCAGAGACAGGTGCATGTGTTCTATAACCAAAATGAATGAATTCATATGATAGAGCAATATATAGCTTTACTTCCAACAAAATTTTCGATTTGGTTAACTTAAAGATGTTCTTTTATACATTTTTTTGGGATAAATACACAGAATTTGCGGAAATTTCCTAAACTTTCGTTTTTAAGCTTTTCTTTATGCGTTTACAGTTTAATCTGTTTGTATGAATCGTACTATTGTTAGAAACATAAAGTAAAAAGATTATACTTGTATAATGTTGAATATTAGACTTTCTAATTTTTTCTGTTAAAATTGGGACTGTTGCTCCTCTATTTGTTCGTATGTCAACATCTTTTCCAATTTTGCTTGCATCAATTCCTTTAATAATTGAACTTCCTAAAAATTGTCGAAATGTGGAATTATTTAAGAAACATTGTTATAATCATTTTCTCGAAAATTCTATGCAAGTCGAATAATTTGTTTTCTTTCTTTTATTGTAAGAATAAGAAAATTTAATCAAAACTTTACCAATTATTGCCATTTGTATGTTTGAATGATTGAATTGTGTATATACTAGTAATATATATTGTATTTTAATGTATGAATGTATGAATGTTAACTGTATAGTTTACATGTATTTTGTTTGAGGGCCTCAATGAAAATTAGACTACTTCTAATTGAGTTACCCTCTTTAAATAAAGAATTTATTATTATTATTATTATTATTATAGACTTTTTGAAATTGGCACTGGTGTGAAATAAATGCTAAGAAAGTTGACCATATACCTCTTTGCTGTTATACAATTGTGTAAATCATTAAAAATGGAGTAGTTTCTACCTCGTGCACATACTGACATATCTCTGATTCCTTGTCTGGGTTTGTGTTTGTGTTTACTTTTAGTATTATTTCTAATTTTATCAGCACTTCAGCTTTTTTTTTAGATCTTTAGTTTTTCAAATATTTTAGCTTCGGGCATGTGTGTAGAGATAATAATTGTCGAAATGCGCATCAGGTGAAGTAAAATTGGAACTGTAAAATTGTCACACAACAAAAATTAATTCAAAATCTCTATATATATTCAACCATTTTTTCTTCTTCAATTTTTACAGCTCTCTAAATATTTTACATTAAGTTTAACTTCGTGAAAACCATGTATATCCTGAATTATACATGTATCAACCAATGTTTAAAATTTTTTAGCGACACATGATGGAGTCCCATACCACTAAAATTAGCACGTTGGTTTTCTGAAATTCTTAACTAGCATACTATTAACAAATCTACATTAAAATTGTGATGCAAATTCATGCACAAGTAAATTTGGTCTTAAAATGATCAAAATGTATTTCTAAATCGGAAAAAGTTACTTTCATGTAAATTGATATGCTAAATTAAGTAAACAATAACATCAGGCGCGAATCCATCAATTTTGCTAAAGGGAGGGATTCCCACCCACGGAACACTATGAAAAGTTCACATGATTAAAAAAAATCACACTAACACAAAACACAAAATAAATCGAAAAAAAGGTGATTCCAAATCCCCCATATATATATTTCATTTTCACAAATTCTTCAAGAAAGTGTTAAATAATGAAGTAGTCAATGACGTCATAATAATTGGTGGTTTTAGTACCAACACCATTCAATCCTGGAGACAAATCCTTGTTTTCTATTAAAGTCCATTTAATATAGAATTGACAGTACTAGCATTCTGTATTCAAACTTAAAGTAGTATTGCGCGAAAACAAACTGCACACATGACATGTGTTGTTGATACGTATACCCACAGGATTAAAATCCTGAACGGTAGTTGTACCATCTAATCGCACCGTTTTCATCATCAATTTATCGTAGTCATAATATAACTTCATTGAAACCTATGGAAGAAAGAATGATATGATAATGTAACGTCATGAATGATGTCATTATATAATGTAACATCATGTAAACTGAGGAAGAAATTATGTCATTTTAATTTACCTTCATGTAACCTGTGGAAGAAAAGATGTCACTACAATTAACTAAGTGTAACACCTGGAAGAAAGAATGACATCATTACGTAACTTAATGTAACATGTGGAAGAATGGATGATATTATGATGTAACTTCGTGTAACACATGGAAAAAAGAATAACATCATAATCTAACGTCATGTATCATGTGGAAGAAAGAATGACGTTATGATGGTACGTCATGTAACACGTAAAAGAAATGATGTCTTCACAATGTAATGTCATGTAACATGTGCAAGAAATGATGTCATTATAAGGTAACTTCCTGTAACATGTGAAAAAAACATGACATTATTATGCAATTTCCTGTAACACGTTGAGCAAGAATTGCATCATAATGTAACTTCATGTTACACGTTGAAGAAAAAGTTACATCAAAATAGAATTGCATGTAACAAGCGGAAGAATAGAATGACATCATAATGTTACGTTACGTTACATGTGAAAGAATGTCATGATAATCTAACTTCATGTAACAGGAGAAAGAAATAATGACACCATAATGTTACGTAACGTTACACGTGGAAGAAAGAATGTCATGATAATCTAACTTCATGTAACAGAAGAAAGAAAGAATGACATCATAATGTTAGGTAACGTTACACGTGGAAGAAAGAATGTCATGATAATCTAACTTCATGTAACATGAGAGAGAAAGAATGACATCATAATGTTACGTAACGTTACACGTGGAAGAAAGAATGTCATGATAATCTAACTTCATGTAACATGAGAGAGAATGAATGACACCATAATGTTACGTAACGTTACACGTGGAAGAAAGAATGTCATGATAATCTAACTTCATGTAACATGAGAAAGAAAGAATGACATCATAATGTTACGTAACGTTACACGTGGAAGAAAGAATGTCATGATAATCTAACTTCATGTAACATGAGAAAGAATAAATGACACCATAATGTTACGTAACGTTACACGTGGAAGAAAGAATGTCATGATAATCTAACTTCATGTAACAGGAGAAAGAAAGCATTACATCATAATGTTACATTACTTAAGATGTGGAAGAAAGAATGTCATTATATTATACCTTCCTTGCAATCTGTGGAAGAAAGAATGGCATCATAATGTAGCTTCATGTAATATATGGGAGAAAAAAATGTCATTATGATTTAACGTCCTGTAACAAATGGAAGAAAGAATAACACCATAATGTTACTTCATGTAACACGTTGAAGAAAGAATGACATCAAAATGTAACGTCATGTAACAAGTGGAAGAATGAATGACACCATAATCTAACTTCGTGTCACACGTTGAAAGAAGAATAACACCATAATTTTTACGTTACGTAACATGTGGAAGAAAGCATGTCATAATAATGTAACTTTGTGTAATATGTGGAAGAAAGAGTGGCATCTTATGTAACGCCATGTAACATGTAGAAGAAAAAAAAATCATAATGTAACTTCATGTAACCTGTGGAAGAAAGAATACACTCATAATGGAGCTTCATGTAACAGTAATGACATCATAATGTTACTTCATGATAGTTGTTTTCCAGTCGTTCCGTTTGCTGCTATCATGGTTATAGGCGAGCGTTTGGTTTTGTCAGTTTTTATGCACTTTCCCCTTTTTTACTTTGGAGTTTTCTTAATATTTCATTTTAAAGGTAGTAGGATAACTGCAAATTTTCTTGAGTCATGGCTTCTACAAAATGCTAACTTCTGGTAGTCAGATACATTTTTGTGTACCTGCACATTTTCTTGAGTGATTGATTCTACAAAATACTTACCTCCAGGGTAGAAGGAGTACCATTGAAGTAGGATCCAGTGACCTGATGAAGATCAGCTGTCAGTTGATGTTTTGAGCAACATAGTTTCGGAGTAACTGCCGCCCTTGTGACAGCAAATAGACCAAGTAACCAAAGGAAACGTTCCATAACACATTTTCAAAGGAGGAATTCAAAGGTCATCATAACCAATAATCATGTCTTAAACTTATCAAAAATGACTATCTCAGATTTTCCAGATGCGTTTTTCACATTCAATAGATAAGTTTAATACACATAGGTCTATTGCAAAAATATTGTACTTTTCATATTCAGATTGATTTAAAAAGAAAACTCAAAAATTCATTTGGAATATATATAAACAAATTAGATTTCAGATCCTGTGAAAATACCGAAATATCAATTATCAATCTTTTACAATTATGTGTGGGTTCTTCAGTCTTTGGTCATACATAAAAAGCACAAAAAATGAAGGGACCGCACCAAGAGTTCGTCGTATGATAAATATCTTTGACATATGACAGAATTCATACAATATGATCTAAACGCAGTATAAATACACTACTGAAACTTTTTCACCTAAAAAAAGATCTAACAGTGTATTATAAACATGGTTGTAATATTCTTTCGTGGCGAGTTTCTTAATTTTTGTAATCAACTGTGAGCTGCTTCATTGAGCAGACTGTGAATCCTCGTTTTGCAGTAAAGAGAAATGGTCGAGAAAAGTTGTCTATCAGTTTTGTCGAAAGAAGTTCTTTCAGCTTTATATTCAGAATGCTTAAGAAATGTACAATAAATATAAAAATAAGAAGATGTGGTATGGTTGCCGATGAGACAAACTCTCCACCAGAGACCAATTGACATGGAAGGTTAATACCTATAGGTTACCGTGTTAGTTTTTGTGATCATGCTTTATCAAGTTAGGAACTTTCCATAGTTTTCTATATAATTACGACCGGTTCTTTGCCTAAAGGAGGTTTGACCAGGTTTTCTTATTTCAATATAATATGGCGTATCTTTAAAAAAAAAAAGTATCTATTTTAAAGATTTTTCTACCGTATGTTTGCGATTCAATGATAGTATTGAAGAGTTGTATTAGTTTAAGCATATTGTTATCATTTCAGTGCGTGTTTTACAAATCTCTATGAGTCCGAACGCATTTGATAAAAAAAGTAAATGAGCATGTATAATATAGGTAGGAGATTATTTGAAGGTAAAACATCTGGTTTAAAAATAGATTAAAAAAAGACTTAACATCATTTATCGTGTTCTTTCGAATTTTGGCTATATTTTGCTTTACTTGCTACCTATATATATATGTGTGTACAGCGTATGTACTGTGTTGCAAGCCTAGACAAAGCCGACATTAAAAGCATTGCTCAACTTTAGCTAACGAAAGCTATATTTGATATAGCTTAGTTGACCAAGTGGTCTACGTTGGAGAACACAGTGTAATCGGTGTTGTAAAGATGTACAGAATCATAGATTCAATTCCCTCTCACGGAAGACAAAAAATTGCAGAACTAACATTGCATGTTTGGCCGAATTTAATTTTTTTTTATTATTTAAGCACTAATATAAAAATAAGATGTGGTATGCTTGCCAATGGACAACTATCCACCAAAGTTCAAATGAAGTGTATGTTAGAAATTATAGGCAACCATACGGCATTCAACAATGGGAAATACCCATACCGTATAGTCGGCTATAAAAGGACCCGACATGAAAAATATGAAACAATTCAATTCAGAATTATATATCTCAAGCATGGATACATGTATAGTCATAATCTTCCATTAGGCAACTGAAATTAAAATCTAAATTTGTCATGAAAGGAAGCTCCTTGAAATCATAAAACTTATAGCATGAAAAGCATTATATGGAGTCTGAGCCTAAGTAGGTCTTCCCTTCTCCCTGTTTAATAGCTCCATAAATTAGATATTTTAGGTTTATCTTAGTTAATAATTATTAGTTTAAATGTGACAGCTTTGTTTAAGTTTATGGCATGATGATTTATTTCAAATATGTGTCAAATTATGTTGAGAAATCATTTTACAGTAATAGAACTTGTTTGTGCATTCTAGTATATAAGGAGATAATAAACATAATAAAACAGACGATACAATGACCATAACAAAAATGAAAAAAAAAAAAAACAATGAACAAATAAGTATACCAAGAAGGTTATATGAGAACGAAAACGAAAAAAGACAACACCACGAACAAAAAGAAAAATGACGAAATAAAAGGCAATAACAAAGCAGTACACAGAAAACCAAAGATTGAGCAAATCAAACCTCACTTACACCCGAGGACGAGCGTAGGTGTCCGGGAACGTACGGTACTCGGTCTCCGCTGCACGTATGGTACCCGTTGTGTTGCTCATGCAATTAAACATCCTATGTCACAATTGAGAAAAAGAGGAAGTGGTTGTGGTTAAATCATGATTTTATTTACATGTACGACCGTGAGAATGATAAAAAGAAACAAAAAGCAATAAACACTGTTCCATCGATATCGGCGTAAGCTATGGATATATAAGGCATACTTATAAGTAGAAAACATTACATTGTTTTATTTATCTAAATTAATATAGCCCGTCTTGTAATGTCTATATCTGAGGACATGGTTGTGGCACCTGGAATGTAGTGGCTGCTAGAGTTGTAAATTGTACGTTGTGGTAAAATATTGTTGTCTGTGAAACAACTAAAAATAAGAATGTAATGTTTATAGCATTACATGAACAAAATTTATTACATATCGAAAAAAGTTTAAGAGGATACGCAATTAGGTATGTCTATATTTTTAAAACTGTTCTTTCCTTGATATCTAACGGTCCCGTTAGCATTAAAAGTGACTTCTGGGCTTTCATCACTTTAAGTAATGTTTTTCTTTCATACTTTTACACGCTTATAACATGGAAGACGTAGGCTTGAATGCCTATATCGGGATTAGTCATCAAAAACAGACAACAAAATCTCGCCCCACAATTCACAGAAAATAACACTTATTTTTTTTTTTTAGTGTTAAAAAAAATATTTATCGTTCCTGCAAACGGAAAAATTGTAGAATGAAATTTAATTTAGACCTTCCTTAGGTTTTGCTTGCTAAAATATTCATTTAGTGGAAAAATTAGATATAAAAAAAAATCGCTAGCCCAACACATTTTCTGCATACAATTAAATTTGAAGTGGCATAATGATAAAAAGAGACGATAGCAAACGATATAATATAGGGAGATGGGTATGATTGCCAATAAGACAACTATCCACCAGTGACCAAATGACGTGAATTTAAGCAATATTTACATTGTACATGGTAACTTTAAAACACAGATTATTACTGATGTTTTAATATAGCAGTTGGAAAAAACGGCAAACAAAAGCACTTTTAAATAAATATTGTAAACAGTAAAAAACTGCATTTTGACATGTAAACAAAATAAAAAACATTTTACAAAAATCACTTTACTCATTCAACGGACTTATCGCCGATGTTTCCGCTTTGCAGACAGAGACCAAAGTTTCAATGAACTCAAGTGTAAACAAATCAAAGTGCTGGATAGCACCTGTGGAAAGTTTGCAACGGTAGATGTGTATTATTTCAAACAGGTTGTAGATGTTTATTTCTGACTTTCAAAAAAAAATACTTAATACAAGAAATAATTGTAACAGGATGCTGTTACTAAGTCTCCCCAAAAAAGTTCCCATAATTAGACATTCCCATGGTCGCCTGACACTGGGCAAAGTCCAGTACAAATTGGTTTGGTCTAGTAAAGCGATATGCATAAGTGACGCCTAGGGATTAACCCTGTATGTCATTCAAATCTTGAAATCATGAACAGGAATATATATGGTTTAGGGGTGGGGATATTTACCGTTTACAAGTTCTAAAAAAACGGGGGTGATTCTCAGGGGACTCACCCTTTATTTCATTTTATTTGGGTTTTTTTTTGTCCCATACAAGAGTATATATGGTTTAGGGGTGGAGATCTTGACTGTTTACAAGTTCTCAAACAGGAAGGGGATGGGAGTGACCCCAGAGGACTCGCCTTTTATTTCATTTCATTTGATTTGTTTTTTACTACTGGAAGTGTTTAACGACCTTGACTGGCTGTTCAGCCCTCGCACGGTCGGCTCGGTGCCCAAAGGCGTTTTGGTGAGCGTTTAAATATTTTTTGCAGTCGGTCAGGAACAGGTGAAATGCGCCATTTTGGTAGGCGGCCATCTTGGTTTTGGTGAGTTGATTTGGTTTGTTGACTATTTTGATGTTTTATTTCAGTCTGTACTTCACAACGGCTGCTTTCAGGGCCAGGTTGGCCAGCTTGGCAGCCCGCTAACCACGATAATGGAGTACCGGCCGATGAGTCTCGGACATAGTAATAACGATGACAGGAAGCATTATCAGGACCAAAGTCGCGAGACAGTGAAATGGCGGTCCATTATCCAACACCTAGGATACGGCCCTCGGACGTCAGTCGGCATAACACTCCCCCATCCATAATGGGGTTTTGGAGTGTATGCTGACGCGGGATTTCGCCCTACGTGGATTATAGCCTATCGTAGTCTGTACAGCGTTGAATTAGTTTCTGTCATCTAAAGTAGTAAGTCGTTGATCCATCTATCAGCAAACCATCATCGTAGATAGCGGGTAAAGGAGAGCTGACCCAGCACGTCCGTTCAGCTGTAATGACTGAGACGTGACTGGTGATTTGTATTCATACACTAGTACTACATTATCTAGGAGTAGACATAGTAAGATAGTCTGTCCAACTTCCGGTTTAAGGCCGATGCCTTAGGAAAGTTTATTGCTATAGCAAGCTATAGCAAACTTTCCAAAAACTAACCATTGTTTGCATTGGAAATCAAGTCTTCACTGACAGCTTATTTTTTGTTGAGAAGAGAAAAAGGTATGTTAAACAATGTCATTTACCGTATTTAGATTTGACTATTCAGTTTCAACTTTCATTGTTATTCTTGAATCATGAACAAACCAAACCAAGAAAACAAAACAAAACAAAATAACAAAAACAAAAATTAAACTGAGAGTATATGTCCTACAATTCATTTTGTTTCTTGTCATCGGTTGTAATGATAATAAACGAAACTTTAAATGTTCATCTCATAAGTTGTACATG